CCGTCACATATTCAACTTTTCTCCTGTGTTTCCGTTTCTCCCTGTTTCCCAACCATTCTGAACTTTGCTCTTGGGTAAATGCTGCCCTTTGGATCTCAAATGGTGGACCAGTCTATGCACCTCACTCGTGTTGTCCCTCTTATACACCGATCTAGTTCTTGGCTGAAAATTGAGCATCAGGGATGATGTTAGTCCCAGACCTGGAGTGACCAAGGGCCATCGTCTCAGGGTTCCACTAGCCTTTATCTGACTGATAATCCACATCTTTTTATGATTTTCAGTTTTGTTCCACATTTTCTTCTGCTCCATCTAGCACCTTCTAATGTGGTTCCTGTTAAAACAGTTGGCAGTTAGTCAGGCACCATCTAGTTCTTCTGATGTTCCCATGGTCCATTAGTCCACTAATTATTTCTAGACATCTTCAACTTTCTTCACTCTTCTTGCCTCCAGACTGGAAGAGACCCACAGTTGCACCTTAGATGGCCATTCAAAAGCTTTTAGATCCCAGTGCGTCTCTATTCATGCATCTACACGTAAATGACCATCACTTCAGGGTTGTGTATATAATAGTACTTAACTTGGTATGATTACCTTTTAACCATTTTTGTTCCTTCCCTTGACTCAGTAGACGGGACGGATAAATTAAAGCTCTCAACAATCTTACTAAACAGGCCCTGAGTGGCAGCAGGGAAAGCTTGTGGCTGTATACTGCCGAGACCACCCTGATGAGGAAGATGATCCTTCAGAGCCAGATGGCTTTGGACCTTCTGACAGCCCTCAAGGCGGGCCATGTGCTGTAGTGAAGACTGAAATATGGTACCTATATTCCATACTGCTACCAGAACATTATGGATTTGTTGTTGTTGTTGTTATGTGCCATGGAGTCAGTTCCGACTCATGGAGACCCTGTACAAGGTTTCCGAGGCTATAAATCTTTACAGGAGCAGAGCCTCATCTTTCTCCCCTGGAACAGCTGGTAGTTTTGAACTGCTGACCTTGTGGATCACAGCACGATTCGTAACCACTACGCTACCAGAGCTCCTTTATGGATTTGTTAGGGCAGATGAAGAAACAGTTAAGAGGCCCTAGATATATCTCGTGGCTGCTGACTACCTGGTTTACCTTCTTACCTTTTAGCAGGTGAAGGTTTTTGCTAGGTTTTGGTCTTTTCCTGAGTAGAGGGTTGTTTTGTTGTGTTTGGTTATATTGAGGCTGTGGCCTGTGCCTCCGGCCACTTAGGTAGGGACAATGCTGCCTGTCCCTACCTAAATGGCATGTCCCTTAAGGGCCCTCAGGGACCTTGCAGAAAATGAGGATTTGCCAGATTATAAAATCCATCATTGAGGGGTGGATTGTAGGGGAAGAGGACTTTATGAGGCTGGATATGGGTAAGCTCTTGCTTGCTGTTGGGTTGCTTTAACTTGTTTGCTAAGTTACTCTTATGTAATACCTGCTGGAGGTCTGTAGACCTGGCACACCTTTTTCACCAAAACCATAAAAACTCCTGTCTCCTCCATGTGGAGACTCGAATCGATCCTGCTGCCACCCAGGATTTATCAATAGTCTCTGCCCATTTTATGAAACCAAATCAATACAATATTATCTACATCTTGAATGCATTAGATTGAGAAAGTCTTCTCTCCTTATCCTTCCCTCCCCTTGGTTGGCTTTCTCAAATACCCAGGAGATGGTTGCGGTTCGGTGCCGTCCATTGTAACTCATAGCAACACTATTAGGCACAACAGAACACTCTGATTCAGCCCACTGTTGTGTACAGCCCACTGCTGTGTACAGCCCACTGTTGTGTACAGCCCACTGCTGTGTACAGCCCGCTGCTGTGTACAGCCCACTGTTGTGTACAGCCCGCTGCTGTGTACAGCCACTGTTGTGTACAGCCCACTATTGTGGATAGCCCACTGTTGCGGTGGACAGCCCACTGTTGTGTACAGCCCGCTGCTGTGTACAGCCCGCTGTTGTGTACAGCCCACTATTGTGTACAGCCCGCTGCTGTGTACAGCCCGCTGCTGTGTACAGCCCACTGTTGTGTACAGCCCACTATTGTGGATAGCCCACTGTTGTGTACAGCCCGCTGTTGTGTACAGCCCGCTGCTGTGGACAGCCCGCTGCTGTGGACAGCCCGCTGCTGTGGACAGCCCGCTGCTGTGTACAGCCCACTATTGTGTATAGCCCACTGTTGTGTACAGCCCACTATTGTGGACAGCCCACTGTTGCGGTGGACATCCATCTGGTGGAGGCTCTTCCTCTTTTTCTTTTTTTCTGACCCTCTACTTTACCAAGCATAATGTTCCTTCTCCGGGGACTGGCCCCTCCTGAAAACATATCTGAAGTACGTGAGACAAAGTGTTGCCATCCTCATTTCTGAGGAGCATTCTGGTCCAGAAGATGAGTTAAATGACAAAAAAATAAAAATAAAAAAATTCAGGAACGTATTCTGTACTTTAGTCAGAAAAGTCAGCTCTAGACAAAGACCTCACTGCAAATACAGTTACGTTACAGTAATGCTGGAGCCTGTGTAAGCATCCCGTCTGTACTACTATCTCTAAAAAGCCCTCCTCAGCCCTAAAAAGGATGCCTTAGATTGGTGATGACTGACAGGTTTTGACAATGACACAGCCAGAAGTATTACCACTTATTAAAGTTTATTAGGTACAAAGAACTGAATCTGCAGAGATAAACATCAATAAATATAAAATACTTGTGAGACCTGGGGCGGGTCAGAACCTACAGTCAGTGAGAGTATGCAGAGATGCTTGAATGCCTTGCTAGGTGAGCTTATGACCAAGGGGCTAACCCATAATACTGTCAGAGGGGGCGGGTACAGCGGACGGGAGCTCCAAGGGCCATGAGCCCAGAGATGGGTCTCTACAAGAGATGGGATGCCAGATTCCTGAGATTCCCCCTCATTGTGGTTTTTGGTTTCTGCTCTTTCTTTCCTCTGTCCTTGAACAATTGTTATTTCCATCCCAGCAGTACGGAACATGAATGCAGAAACACTCATCAGGGCAGGCAGCCTATTATGATGGTGGAATATGCCTTTGTCTAGAGCCTTCTTAATCACAAGAATTAAAACTTTCATAATGATGTTGTGATGTTATCCAACTGGGAGGGAGGCAGAGAAGATAATAATAAAGAAATTCTGACCTTTTGGAAACCTTCCAGAACCAATAAAACAAATCAGCTAGGCCCAGAGCTGATGATTTACAAAAGCTTCCTCTCCATTGATTTAGCTGTTACAACTTGGCATGATTTATTTCCCCAGCGAAGGGAACTTGGCCCTGCTCAATTGCTTCTACCTGGATAGAGAAGGCAACAAAGGCATAACAATGATGTAGGAAGCTGGAGACCACCAGCTAGGCTCCTACAGCCACTGTGGCTAAAACCTGCCTAGAAGGCAGTGTTTTCTGTACGGCTTGGACTGGGTATGGTATCAACCAAGTGTGGGGTGTTCCAATGTAAATTTATTTTTTTCACTACTCCTCTGTCTTCTTCCTGATTTCCTTTCATCTGTAGCTATTTTTAGCACAACCAGTAGTCAGCCTGTGCCTTATTTTTCCCTCTCCCTCTGTCCCATCCTTCTCCTCCAAGGATGGGGAGAAGCAGGTGGGGCCAAACAATAAGCAAGAACGTACTTCCATTCTTTTGCCAGCTCCAGAGCAGGGTGTGAGAGGAGAAGCCATAGCCCGCCTTGCTCCTTCCCATCTTCAGGGATGGCTCCCTGGGCTACATTTCTCCTCACAGAGAGATCATCTGCCACAGGGAATGGGGAAGTGGCCCGCCAATCCCCCAGACCCATTCTCCTTTAGCTTGTAAAGGATGGGCAGTTCCAAGTTTCCCAGTGGGGGTGGGGCAGCAGATATGTGAGGCAGCGATTTCACTACAGAAGGAGTCTTGGTAGCACTGTGCTGGGTTGCTAAGTGTTGGGTCAGCGGTTCAAACCCATCAGCTGCTCTGTGGGAGAAAGATGGGGCTATCTACTCTGGTAAAGAGTTGCCATCTCAGAAACCCTGTATAGTCTCAAAGAGTCTAAACTGACTCGATGACACTGGGTTGGGTTTCAATTTCACCACATATTTCGGTCTTCATATTTTCCAAGCAAACCCTGCACTCAGGGAAAAAATAAAAAGACCTCTGAGATAGAATTAGTCATTTACTCTGAGTTGCTTTATGTTTCTAATGTACAGGGATAATATTGAGATTATCAGGCAGCTCACCTCACCCTGGCTTCCAGGACAGGGCTGGGAACTTAGAGGGGACAGGAGGAAAGTCATGGGGGGCTTGGGCACAAGGGGATTGTAAACAGTAAGAGCATTGGCTACTTGATACAAAAGGGACCCTGGAGTCGGCATTGGAGGGACCAAGCCCCCTCTTGCCTTTATTTTATGTCTTATTTACATTAGGCAGTTAAAACAACAACAACAAAAAATCCCTGTACTGCGAGACAGGAGTGAGACTTGGCATCTCGTTCATCGGAGGCTGCGTGGCAGCATCATCGGTGTGTGGGGAGACGTGACCTTCTCTGAGCTGCATCAGTTATAAGGCATTATTTGGTCTGATTTCGCAATGGGTGCAATGAGAATATAAAACCATGCCAATAAGAAGCCATTGTGGATACTGTGGTTTGGGGACTACACGGAAATGAAGAACTCTCCTAAAAATGCTCTGACTCTAGGAAGGGTCAGCCCACACGCATATATACAGTCATGGATCAAACACTACAGGGTGGGAACAGGGCTCTATCTGCACTTTGACAGATGAATGCCAGGATGCATTTTTTAAAATGGAGAAAAGTTGTTTTTGTTATTAAATTATGCAAATAAAAGTTGACAACAATACTGATTTAAAGCCTGCGCAAACCACCTATTTACAATAAATAAATGCTCCATGCAGAGCCTGTGTATGTCAATTGAAATACAACTTGAATGAGGTGGGGTTGGGCAGGGTCTCCTGGGACTCACAGGACCTTGGCTTCATCTGTCTTCTCATCGGAGTGTCTTTAGGGGCAACTGTGGAAACACAACAGGAGATGAATATATGGAGTGGACAGTCGATGCACACACTAACCCTCCCCAGGATGGGACCACTGCTCTTCCTCATGATCGCAAAGCTGCATGGGCCAGAAGATGTTCCCATAGTATGCAAGAAGCTCATCTTTCTCAAGGGCTCACGGGTGGCAAAGAGATGAAATGGGCCACGTAACTGATGTCATGTGAGGACAATAGACATTATAAAACATTTGCTAATTCAACAATACTTTTACATGTACAATTCAGTGACATTGGCTACTTGCTTTGTGTTGTGCACAATCCATTTTCAAATGATTCCACCACCAGTGGAATGGCACTTAAACAATGACCCCCCCCCCCCTTCCTTTCCACCCCTGGTAACCACTACTAAACTTTGGTTTCTATGTATCTACTATTTCATATAAATAAGATCATCTAATATTTGTCATTTTGTGACTGACTTATTTTCCTCAGCATGCTTTCAAGGTTCATCCATCATGTTGTAGTATATGTGTTGGGAGTTCCATTTTCTTTGGGGTTGTGGAATATACTCCATCGTATGGAGGCCTGGTGTGGTGCTACAGGGTAAAGTACTGGATCACCAGGTCAGTTTGAACCACAAGGCCCCACCAGCCACTCCTTTACAAGATTGCTAAGAGTCAGAACTGACTTCATGGCACTTAACAAGAGCAACAATACTCCATTGTTTGTATACACTATATTTTGTTTATCCATTCATCTGTTGCTGGACATTTCTGTGGTTTCCATCTTTTGGCTATTGTGAATAGTGCTGTAGTGAACATTTGTGTAAACGTTTCTGTTTACCTTCCTGCTTTCAATTCTTTGGGGTATATAACAAGTTTGGAATTGCCGAGTCATACTGTAACTCTAAGTTTAACTTTTCGAGGGACCACCAAACTGTTTTCCACAGCAGCTGTGCCATTCTGCAATCCCACCAGCCATGGATGAAGGTGTAATGCTATCATATAAACATGTGTAGGACCAAGTACCCACAGAATCATTTGACAGGAAGCTCAGGGATAGTCAAGAACTTGCTGGAGATCTCAAGACAAGACAATGGAAAAGAGAAAATGGGGGCAGGTCTTCAGATGTTCAGCCTGAAGCCCCATCCACGCACTGATCAGCTGGGGAAGAAAGCATCCCTTGGGGCATTATTTGCTTTGATTAGAAACCAGTGATTTCTCTGGGCAATTGCTTTTTTGTCTTACTGCAGTGCAAATGAATTACGGTGGTAATAATTCTACCAGTTAGACATGAAGAAACTAGTTTTGATTGTGGGATTCTCAAAGGAGACATTACACTTCATCCTTGACTACGTTTTTATAGACAGGAATACAATTCATCAGTCTCAGGTGATTTAGGTGAGTCAGCCCTGATCCTGGGGACCAGATTCTGAACAATGGCCAACACACAGATTTGTCAAGGTTGTTGGTGAGGATGGCTCTGTTTCTGGTGATTCTAACATGCCAGGAAAAGCAGTGAGCTCTAGTTGAAGCAGAATGGACAAGGAGTCAGAAGGTCTGGGCACGTTCTTTAACCCCTTGGAGCTCGGTTTTCTTTTTTTCAAAGCAGAAATCAAGATCTCTCTCTACCTCTTATCAAGGACTATTAAAAGGATCAAATGCAATTATACATGCAAGCTATCTGAAAACTGTAATGAGCCACCCATGTAATGCAGAGAACTGTGACTATGATCATTAATGTAGTTTTTGACCACAGGAGTAATGTGTTTAATTGTAGAAAATTTGAAAAATATACTAGGAGCAAAGTAAAAATTATGGTAATGGTGGTGGTGGTGTGCCATGGATTCAGCCCTGACTCACAGTGATCCTGTATAGGGTTTCTGAAGCTATAAATCTTTACAGGTGCAGAAAGTCTCATCTTTCTCCCACAGAACCACTGGTAGTTTTGAACTGCTGACCATGAGATTAGCAGCCCGACTTGTAACCTCTATGCTATCAGAGACTCTTTCATAATGGATGTCTGTTAACAATTTTGGGTATATGCTGCCTATCCTCTTCTTTCCTATGCATATAAACTTTCCCTATAAATCCATTTACATACCCAGCTTTGAACCTGTGAACATCTGAGAATGAGTATTGCAGTTCTTGGGTTAGCAGTGGGGATGGGTACGTGTCTGCTATTGAGTTCTGGTGTGGCACTGTAACATAAGCACTGGACAACCAGGTTGATTTGAACAAGAAGGTTGGGAGTTCAAACCACCAGCCACTCCTTGGAAATGCTATGCAGGGTGGCTATGAGTCAGAATCAACTGGATGGCACTTAATAACAAACACCACCACCAACATGTCTGCTAGAGGAAATGCTTCCGCCTCCCCCAAGGATCCCTGCCAGGCTCCTGGAGCCTCCAGTTCCTTCATTCTCATGCTGCTTTCCTTCCTCCAGGTTTGACACAGCTGTAAAGGGTTCCAAATTCACAGCAGGCCACCCTCTCTGTCACCTAGAACTCTCAATTAGAAGGAGGCAATGGTAGGACTGTATGCATGTTTTCAAAGACACAAAGGGCTTTTAAAGGTGAGCCCCCATAGTGCCATGAGAGATGACAGTGCTGCCTGGGCTAGAGACCACTTTGGGTGAGAGCAATGGACGCTTTTCAAAGACCGTTTCATTGCACACACCCCTAACCGGTTTCCTTTTCAGCTCTGTCATTCTTCTTTAGCCACTAGGGCTTGAACACATTTGAATAACTTTGTCCCAAATAAGTTATAAATAAATATTGATGGGGGGGGGGGCAAATCCCAAGGGAATGTAAAATGATACAGACACCACGGAAAACAATTTGATCAACCCTCACAAAGTTGAATAGTATTACCATATGACCCAACAACTCCAACTTCTCGGTATATACCCCAAAGACTTAAACTTAGGGACTAAAAAAGATATGTGCGTATCAATATTTATTGCAATAGTATTCAGAATAGCCAAAAGGTGGAAACAACCCATCAATAGATGAACAGATAAACAAAATGTGCTACGTATGTACCAATACACATACACACACCACATATGTACAATGGAATATTGTTCCACCATATAAGAATTAAGCTCTGATACATGCTATGATATGAATGAACCTTAATCACATGATGCTGAGTGAAATTAGTCAGATACAAAAGGGCAATTACTGTATGATCCCACTTATAAGAACTATCTACAATAGGTAAGTGTATAGAGACTTGAACTTTATTGGGTAGGAGGGGGCAGAAGGGAGGTATGGCTTAAGGGGTATTGGATTTCTGTTTAAGGTGAGTAAACCTTGTGCAAATGCATAGTGATAATAGCTACACAATCTAGTGACTCTCATTAATGTCACCGTTCACTTCAAAATAGTTAAAATGGTACATGATTTGTTATACGTGTATTTTATGGGAATGTTGCTGTTGTTGCAAAGTGCCGTTGAATCGATTCCGACCCATGGCAACACTATATAGGGTTTCTGAGGAGCAGCTGGTGAGATTGAACCACCGACCTTGCAGTTCAAACGGCTTTGCAGTCTGGTGCATTAACCGACAGTGCCACACCAGGACTCCGCTTTATGGGAATCAAAGTAAGCAAAACAAAACTCCAAGGATTCTGAAGTAAACCATGTGTTCTGCAGATGAGAGTGACCACTATAACATGTTCCTGAATGTTAGAGGGTTTTCCTCTCAGGCGCCTCAAAACACCCTAATCACAAGGAAAGAGAAGTGAATGGGAGGATTTTTGCAGAATGATTCTGCTTTTGCAGGAGGGTGTGCTGACTTGCTGAACTTGGTTCTGTAGATGATTAAAAGGCAGCCCCTTCTTTCAAGCTTCAGATTTAAAAATTGTGATGTTTCCCTTTAAGGAATGAGTCACTGGGCTTGGGGGCTCAGGACCATCATCTCGGGACAACTGACATGGTATAGTCCACGGAGACATTCTATTTTGCTGAGTAGCAACAGGGTTTGAAAAGCCCATAAGTGACCATCTCAGGTACAACTATTGGTCTCTCTCTGTCTGGAGGAAAGAAAAGTGATAAAAATTGAAGATGCAGGAAAACAAGTCCAATGGACTAATGAAACACATGACCATCAGTCTCCATGACCCTGAGACCAGAAGAACCAGATGATGCCTGGCTGTCCCTGCCACCTGCTCTGAAAGGGATCACATTAGAAGGTCCTAGAGAGAGTGGGAGAAAATCTGTAATAAAACTGAAAATCATAAAAAGAGACCACCAATCTATGATTTGTTGAATGCAAAACTGATCATCTGCTCTGCAAACCTTCACTTGATTCACAATAAAAAGTTAAAAATTGTGTTTCATTCCAGCTTGAAACAGAGGTAAACAAAATGACCTTTCTTGAGAAAAAGGAGCCTGAGAACAAATTTTAAGCTGCTAAGGAGAAACCACACTCTCCACAGTTCTGTGCTCCCTGAGGGGAAAACCTAGTTTTACATTAAGAGAACCAAGGGACATGTTACCTGAGAATTTCTGCCTTTGATGTCATCAGAGCTCTGTCCAACTGCCTCGGCCTGGAGCCAGGAACCAGGTGTACGACCTGAAAGAAACAGGAACAATCTCACCATCTATTGGCCCAGGGGCCTAGTGTGTCCCTTCAGTAACTTTAGTTAGTAAGTAGCTTTTAAAGCAGCAGCAAAGGAACCAGGAGTAACAAAACACCATCCACCTGAAACCTTGGTCTCCTTGCCCTAGGTTGTGTATTTCTAGTTCCCTATCTTCTATGTCACAGAGACGGTGGATACAGAGACACCATGCTCAGTATGCTGTAAATAGAACAAATGATTAAGAGATGTCATCTAAATGAGGACGCTATGTAACCAGGCAGAGTTGTGCTTTGCATATACATAAAATTACTACGAGTTGGAAGTGATTTTTGACAGCACCAAATAAGACCAATAGTAACATCATCTAAATGGATACCTTGGGTAATGCAAAAGATTAACATGCCCAGCTACTGACTGAAAGGTTGGAGGTTCGAATCCACCCAGAGGTGCCTCCAAAAAAAGGCCTGGTTAGTGATCACTTCTGAAAAACCAGCCACCAAAACCACTATCGAGACATACATGGGGCCATCATGAATCAGAATTGGCTCGATAGCACATGACTCTGTCATCTTGTATATGCTTAAAAAAACAAACCATACTCATCTTCTCAATTCCAATATATAGAGACTTTATAGGACAAAGTAGAACTGTCCCATGGAGTTTCCAAGGCTGTAATCTTTACAGAAACAGATTGCCACATTCTTTCTCCCCCACAGCAGCAGATGGGTTAAAACTGTTGACCCCGTAGGGTAGCACCTGAGCACTGAGCCACCAGAAGTCTTTAAATGTATATTATAGCTGTTGTTGGTAAGTGCCTTCAAGTTGGCTCCAATACATAGAAACCCTGTATAGCAGGGGTTGGGGACATTTTATTCTGTCAAAATTTATACCATCATTCATGGGTCATCCAAAATTATCAACTTAAAAATTAACCTGCCATATTTGGTCAAACATTTCATTAACTCACCCCTAGGTTGGCAGTTCAAGCTCACCAGCTGCTCCTCGGAAACCCTCACAGGGTTGCTATGGGTCGGAATCGACTCGATGGCACTTTACAACAACAACAACGTGATGGCTGGAACTGTGATTCCTTGGCAGGGCCAGACCAAATGGCATTCCCCACTCCTGTAGTATAGGGTTTCCAAGGAGCAGCTAGCTGGCGGGTTTGAACTGCCAACCCTGTGATTAACAGTCCAGTGCCTATCCATTTCTTTTTGGCACAGTGACTCTGTATTCCTTCCACTTTCTTCTTCTTCTTCGTTTTTTTTTTTTTTTTTAATGTTTTATTGTGAATTATGTGATAGTTTATATGGGACAACATTAGCTTAACATTCATCCTATTATATAATCGTTTCATTGCCATGGTTACAATCCTCTCCATGCATCATCCTTCCATCTTTTTTTGATGCTTTCTGCATCATTCAATACAGTGCCACATTGTTGTTAAGTACTCTTAAGTCAGTTCTGACCCATAGTGACGCTGTATAGGGTTTCCGAGGAGCGACTGGTGAGACTGAACTACAGACCTTGCATTTCAAATTGATCTTGCAGTTCAAACTGACCTTGCGCTTCAAACCAACCTTGCCGTCCAGTGTCCTGGACCACTGTGCCACACCAGGACTCTATCTTAATTCAGAACTTACAACCATCTCTTAGCATGCTCATTTGTCCAGTGTTCCCAATGTGCCAGAAAAGGAGTAAAAGGATCCACTGATGGAAATCATGACTTCATTCCATGGAGATCTTACTAATTCTCTAAGAAATACTATCTTCAAATACAATGCAAATTATAAAGCAAGCAAGCCTTGTACCTTTTCCCTGGCACAGGGACATCCATTTTGTGGCCAATCAACAAGAGAATGAGTACTGTAGCACTTGGGGTATGTCCAGAAAGGATTCACAACCTTGGCTTCCCTTAAAAGCTAGGTCTCCTTGACGACCTCCCTAGAGCTTCTTCCAGCCTCTGAGTGCCATTCCTGGGGCTGGGAAATGGATCAGGAGAAAGGCAGACTAGACTGTGAGGAGCAAACATGACCATCAGCTTTGGGCCACTGTAGCATCTCCGAGCTAAAGTCCACCTCAGCAAACAATGAAAAGACAGCAAGGTGTGGTTCAAAGAACACAGAACGTGGAGCAGAGAAAGTGGACTTTGGCCTTACTTTATGGATTGAATTATATTCTACCAAAAGAGTTCTAATCCCTGGTACCTATGAATGTGACCTTATTTAGAAATAAGGTCTCTGCAGATGTACTTAAGGATCAAGACAAGATTTAAATGGTTTAGGGTGAGCCCTAAATTCAATAACTAGTATCCTTCTCAGCAGAGACACAAAGGGAAGATGGCTATGTGAAGACAGAGGCAGAGACTGGAGGTATGCTGCCACAAACCAAACAAGCGGGATGTCAAAAAAACTAGACTAGAGAAAGGAAGATCTTGCCCTGGAATCTCCAGAGACCATGGAGCTGCTGATGCCCTGAAGTCAACTTCCAGGATCATAAGAGAAAACATTTCTGTTGTTTTAAGTCACCAAAGGACCCTGGTGGCACAGTGATTAAGCGCTCACCTGCTAAAAGGTTGGCAGTTTAAACCTACCAGCTGCTTCGCAGAAGAAATATGTGGTAGTCTCGTTGCGTAAAGATTTACAGCCTTGGAAGCCCCAAGGGACATTTCTACTCTGTCCTGTTATTGTTACTAGGTGCCATGGAGTCAGTTGGTGGGTTTCAGCCACTGACCTTGGAATAATAATATGGCCTATAGGCCACAGAACTGATTATTCCAAGGTCAGTGACTGAAACCCACCAGCTAACTCCATGGCACCTAGTAACAATAGTCCTGGTGTGGCGCTGTGGGCTAATGCGTCAGACTGCAAAGTTGGTGGTTCAAGTTCACCAGCTGTTCCTTGGAAACCTTTTACAGGGTCGCTATGGGTTGGAATCAACTCGACGGCACACAACAACAACATGGCCTATTGTTGTTGTTGTTAGGTGCCATCGAGTTGGTACCAACTCATAGCAACCCTATGCACAACAGAACGAAACACTGCCCGAACCTGGGCCAACCTCACAACTGTTGCCACACTTGAGCCCATTGATGCTGTCACTTTGCCAATCCATCTCGCTGGGGGTCTTCCTCTTCTTCTCTGACCCTGTACCTTACCAAACATGATATTCTTCTCCAGTGACTGGTCCCTCCTGACAATATGTCCGAAGTACGAGAGACGAAGTTTGGTCATCCTGGTCTCCAAGGAGCACTCTGGCCGCACTTCTTCCAACACAGATCTGTTGGTTCTTTTGGCAGCCCATGGCACTTTCAATATTCTCCTCCAACACCATAACTCAAATGCATCAATTCTTCTATGGTCTTCCTTATTCACTGTCTAACTTTCACACGCACATCAAGTTACTGAAAATACTATGGCTTGGGTCAGGCACACCTTAGTCATCAAACTGGTATCTTTGCTCTTGAGTACTTTAAAGAGGTCTTATGCAGCAGATATTCCTAATGCAACATGTCATTTGATTTCTTGAGTGCTGCTTCCATGAGTGTTGATCTAAATCAAAATGAAGTCTTTGGCAACTTCAATCTTTTCTCCATTTGTCATGATGTCATTTATTGGTCCAGTAGAAGATCTTTCTTTACAATTGAGGTGTAATCCATATTGAAAGCTGTGGTCTTTGGTCTGTCTTCATCAGTTTGGGGTACTTTGCTCCAGCAGTTCTAGGAAACTGATGCATGAGCTGTGACCAGGGTAAAGTGACCAGGTCACTTTCACTTTACTTCTGAATTTAATTTCTTCAGGCATGTATGAAGGAATTGGGCTGGATGACCTCGGAGGGCCTTTTTTGTTCTAACACTAGAGGCTTCTCATAGTCTCCAAGTACAGGAAATGACAGGTTGCACAGGAAATGATCATTCTAGTCTCTGCCAGATCTTAACCATTGCCTAGGTGGCCTTTTCCTCTCCCCTCAACTACCACTGTCTTTATTCCAGTTAGTGACAGAATCATCATTCCACCCCCAACCACAAGCCTTTGTGGAGAATTCAGCCCACCCAAACCCTGAGGGAAGTCTCCCAACACTTCCCTCACTTCAGGGGTGGGCTGATCATAGTCTCCCTTTCCCGAATTTGGAATTTTATGATTAACTTTAATAGTTGTTAGAGGTCTCTATGAAAGGGACTTCAAAATGTCCAAGAAAAATGGAATCAAAAGATAAGTATGTCCACAAATTTTTTTGAATCCCTCTCGTATACGTATGTGTGTGGTATATAATAGAAAAAGTGAGCAAAATGGTAAAGCACAAAGAAAATAAAAATCACGAGTGTGCCAGACTTGAGTGATGGCCACTTTGACTGTTTTGGGGTGTATATTTCTAACCCTCTTCTGTTTAGTCAACTTCTTCTCTCCACATATATAAACACAAATTATTCATTTTTAAAATTTTAGATTTTATCCCCTAAATGATACTTTTATATACAAGGATGAGTCAAAAATTACCCATACTCTGGCTGTAGAATTTATTTTAATCAAGTTTTATAAAAGATAAAGACATAATTTTTCAACATAATCTCCTTGCTTTCCAATACACTGTGTCTGTCCATCTGTCAACAAGCTTTCGTATTCCCGTATTTAAAAATGTTTTAGGCTGAGCTGTGAACCACAAACACACTGCTGTCTTCACTTCTTCATCAGAGGTGGATCGTCATCCAAAGGTGGAAGGGCTGCTTTCAGAGGATCAAACAGGTGAAAGTCAGATGGAGCAAGATCAGGACTATAAGGAGGATGCTTTAACACTTCAAAACAAAGTTTTTGCAGAGTGTCAAAGGTGTGGGCAGAGGTGTGTGAATGTGCATTGTCATGCAAGATCACAACCCCCTTGGATAGCAGTCCTCTGTGTTTAATCCAAAGTTTAGACTTTAGCTCTTCAGTGAGCATCTCACTGTAATGAGGCATTGAACCCCTTTCCTGGCAGTGTTCCAATACTTGCCCTTGAG